AGTAATCGAAGCTGTAAATGGTTATTTTGAGGAGCTTGACGAATCAGTCTATAGAGATGGCATTAATAGACTGGAACACCGCTATGAGAAATGTATCAGCCTTGGAGGAGATTATGTTGAGAAATAAAAAAAAAAAATTTTTAAAAACCTTGTTTTTCTTGGTCAGGCCGGAAACTTATCAATCCACCCTCGTAAATCCTAACTAATATCGTATATGCGAATGTGAGTTTGTTTGTTTGTTGCTTTTTCACGCCTTAACTACACAATCGATTATCATGAAATTTTGTACACACATTGTCAGTGATACAGCAAAGTACATAGGGTACCTTTTATCCAGAAAAAATGCTGTTTCCGGGGAATAGAAACAAATAAATTTTATGTGGTCGATTTCAAACACTAATTACTGAATCAACCATCATGAAATTTTGTAGGCACATTGTCAGAGATACAGAAAGGTCATAGGGTACCTTTTATCCTGAAAAAATTCTGTTCCCGAGGGATAGAAAAATTACTTTTATGCGGTCGATTTTACGCCTAACTACTCAATTGATCATCATGAAATTTTGTAGACACATTTTTAGGGTACAGAAAAGGGCATAGGATCCTTTTTATCCAGAAGAAAAAAATGCTGTTCCTGAGGGATACTTATAAAGATTAGTTTTGTGTGGTAAAATTTAGTATATAACAATTTGTACAAGTGAACAACATGGAAGTTATAATCACCACTTTTAAAATTCATAATCCTCTATAAGTTAGATTTATTACTATGTATAATAAAATAGTTGGTTATAGTTCTTCTGATAGCAATTCACGTTTCAAATGTAAGTCGTCCAACAGTTTTGTTATTTTGTTGCAGGAAAATCGTACACAATGTTAGGTGCTCCAGACAATACCAACACTTTGGGCATAATTCCTTGTGCAATATCGTGGCTGTTTCGTGGAATTAATGAACAGAAACAAAAAACCGGAGCTCGGTTTTCAGTTCGAGTTTCCGCCGTTGAAGTTTGTGGTCCTACGAACCAACTTAGAGACCTGTTGTCGTCCTACTCAAACGGTAAGTCACAAAAAAATCACTTCAATTTTATTGATTTCGTAATCAACGCACTCAATTTAACTTATTCCGTTAACCATTATGTAAGTCTTCCATGAATTACCTAAGAAAAATTTAAAATATTAAATATGTACTTGTAAAGCATATTAACACATAGAAATACACCTATACACATGATAAAATAATGAATTCGGTTATTCTTTAGTATTTGATTTGCGCAAGCATTTTGTGCCGCATCTATCGATATTCAATCAATAAATGATAAGAATTGGCTGTAGCTTGCTTTATTTTTGTCAAAAAATTATTATTTATGGTGTTTTTTTACGTATTTTTCAGTTAAAATCGAACTTTTTCTGAAAATTTTTGCTTAATTCATCAATAAATCGCATCTAATATCAAAGATTGTTCAATAAATGATCTAACTAAGCTCTCGTTAGCTTTATTTGTGCCAAACAATGATTATTTATGATGTTTTTTGCGTTTTTTTCGGTCAAAATCGACCCATGCATATAGAAAATTTTGCTGAAAATTTTTACATTTTTTTATCAGTTTTTATGACGTCCGCTTCCCTTGGTCAGTCTATGCAATCTTCACCACAAGCACGCAATTATTTTGAGAAGAATGTTACAATTGTTTCGTTTATGTGCGCAATAATTTATAATAAAGGAAGTAACTCATTTAATTCAACATTTACTTTAATTACAATTGCAAACATAGACAGATACTTAGTTATTCGCGATTGTAATGGCCTAACGGACTTATAATTATACCCAGTTGCACATCAATGACTTAAGGCTATTTCTATTTTTATTTCGCTTCGCTGTACGTGATTGATTGCTAAAGCATTTATCAAAACGTACACAACATTTACTTCTCTTGTCTTGTTTTACTATGTGCTAACTGCGCAAACAGTTAGTTATCTGTCAGGTACTCAATTGTAATCAAGAAATCACAAACAGGAAGTTGTTAAGTCATCGAAGCGTGTTACAAATAGATCGTAAAATATTTAATATGCAATAGTTTTTATGCATTATTTGGTGAAGGCGCCGGGACGGTTTACAACTAAAGTACTTTTCTAATACACCTTAAAAACCACGATGACTATTAAGTAATTAAGCAAAATTTTAAAGTTCTTGTTAATTTACCTCGTTGAAAGCAGTTGCTGCGATCTATCCATAAAGGTGCAATAATAGTTTCAGCAAGTTCCTCACATAAAACCGCTGGGAACTGGCTACGTTGACCAACTTTAACTACTATCTCGTTAAACATACAACATTTATACATTAGGATATTTAATTCTACTTCGAAATACTGTTTTAGACACTTTATATAGGTATCACTTTGGAAGTTAACATGTTTAGCAATGATTTTTCGTTGATAATAAAAACATTTTACGTTCTTGGATGTATTCTTCTGTGATGGTTCTTAAGATCATAATTTTTAAGTTTTTATGTACATTACACATCCTTTATAGAATAAGTAGAAATGACACGCTTTTGGTTGTAATGCTTTGTGAGTACATTTTGCAACAATAACAACGCCCTACGACATTGTCATTATCTAGCATAGCGTGAGCTGTCAAGGCGAAGTTACAACCTCAAATACTTCTGCACAAAAATCCCCGACATCCATGACATTTTCATGTTGTAATATGTTACATGAACTTTACATCGCCGAGAAGATTGCGAAACGGGGCTTGAGTCTATTTATCCGAGTACAAAGTTAAGTTTTGAATACTTCTTCTAACTTAACTTCTAAAAAGTAAAACGCTAGTACATTGCAACATTCAATCTAGATAACTGATAACGGTTAGATTCTTTATTATGTTATGTGAAAAGGCTGCTCGGAGTTTCCTATAATTAAAATAATGTTTTAAAATTTTAATTGACATACTATCAAATTCGTTAATGTTTTTTTAAAATCACTTCGTTTGTATTGTCTTTTCCTACCATAACATTATGATCCTGAGCATACTTTCGACCTTGCAAAAGCAGTACTGCAAAAGTTTGTCGAACTTCACATAAGGTCTGCGGATCCTTCCAAAATACAAACACGTAAAAGTTACAAAGATTTTGTACGTAAGTTTTTATTTTGGACCTTAAACATTTTTAACTGTAAAAGAACAAAATAATTCGAATCATATTTTAAATAATAAAAACATGTATGTATGTTTTGATGTGCCCCAAAAAAGTTTTGATAGGTACAAGATTTGCTGACACGTAGTGAGAAAGATGTTGTTTTATTAAAATAAATTTCAGTGCCAGGGGACTTATGAATTTATGAGGTAAGTGTATACGCGATACAACGAAGGTAATAAAACAAATGACGAGCTTTTTCGCAGTACCATCACGGTAACAGCGACGAAAATAACAGGAGCAAATGGACCGAAAATTTCGACGAAAGCACTAGCAAAAACAAATGAATAGAGTGGTAACAGACAGATTTCTGACACCCTAAGAATATAAATAAATAGCCATGTACTAAATTGAATAGGAAGTGTACACTCTTATTTTTAAATCTTTCATTTAATTTTTCATATAAAATAGGCAGTGAGCTAACTCCCACCACATGGGTTCAAAGTTTGTACATTGACGTTAAAGAAAATTGAAATGTTCATGGAGGAATTTAATTTGAACAAAAATCTAAATCAATTTTCTCAACCCTGCCACATGTGACAAATTTTTGAATTTCAGTAACAGTGACTGGATCTCCGAGTTTTTTTTTATCACAAGAGGAAACTTAATACGTTAATGGATTTTTGATTTTTATTTAGGTATCAGCACCCTAGCTAGATATTGACAAATTGATACATTCCGCGTTCATGGGTGCGCTTTGTTTTCATTTCAGATTCCGAACAATCACCGGGCATGTATTTGAGAGACGACCCCTTGTTTGGCAATCAGCCCCCTCATTGCGAATTACGCGTGCCAACGGCCGAAAAGGCCGCACAGTATTTAGATGCGGCCATCGAGGGTCGGGCACCTGCTAAAGAAGACAGCAGAGACTCGCACCTTCTCTTCACTCTGCACGTGTATCAATACAGTGTGGCGGGAAAGGGAGGAGGTAATAAGCAACACTCATGATTATATACAATGCACATTTGCACGTAGCAATTTACCTCGCCTTCATTGTTTTCAAGTTTGAGTTAAGGCTTTTCATTTTGTTCTGTGTTGCTTTTCTCTTGTCTTCAAGTATGGCTTTTATTTCTTATGTTCGCATTCGTTTTTATAGAAGCAAGTGTCTTTGGTGATTGCTTTTGTCGTTGGATTTGGTGGTTTTCCTTTTGCTTATTGCTATTCCACCCTTTGTATTTTAGTGACGCTTTTAAATTAACACAAAAAACCATTTTTCCAGTTGAAGTTTTAATGCATGGGAAAGTGATTATGTCTTACTACTAATCATTGGCTAGTTGGCAAAATTTGAATTTGTTTTAGAACGTTTTGACTTGATTCCAAGGTGGAGTTTTCCTTTAAACTTCTTTTAATTGTCGCGAAGAAAATTTATGGTAATTGGAATTCTTATCGCCCTGCTTTGCATGCTTTTTCCTTAGAAAATACGTCACTTGGAATCCTATCTCGGTCTTATCGGGATCTTCATTCACTGAAAAATTGTTTCAGTTGCCGGAGGCCGTAGCCGACTGCATCTGTTCGACCTGGGAAACTCCGAGAGGGGCAAATCCAGCGGGGGTATACCGCTATCGGGTCTCGGAAATATTTTGCTCGCCATTTTTAACGGACAAAAGCATCTTCCTTACAAAGATCACAAGTTGACTTATCTTTTAAAAGATTGCCTGAGTTCGTTGACGTGTCATGCGGCGATGATCGCGCACGTATCGCCGTTCGCTCAAAACTATTCGGACACATTGACAACAGTACAACTTGCGTCCAGGATACATCGCATGAGGCGACGAAAGATAAAATTCGTGTCGGCAGGTGTGGGGAATAGCTCGGGGGGCAGTTCGGGCGAAGAAGCGGCACGTACGACCGGCACAAGTAGCGAGCCCGATCCATCCAGCAGCGATTTATCTGCAGACACGGTTATTTACGTGGGCCCTGCAGATGACGCCACTGACTGCGAACACCCTCCGGTCTACATCCCCAGCCTTAACTCCGGTGACAATCGTTGCTCGATGAGCAAAGCCTTGAGGGGTTCCGGGGCGGAACAGCGACCCGGAAAGCCTTCCCTGCCGCAAAAATCGTCTTCCGACGAAAAAACGCCGACTCATCGACCCTCCATTAAAAATCCACCAGGCACACGGACGTCACCCGCGCACAGTGGCAATCAAAAATCGTCACCTAGTCGAAACGCGTCTGTCAGAAATAAATCGTCTACGTCGGAGACTGCGAAGCACGCGCCTAATGGAGCCAGCGACGAGCAGTGGATCGACGGTCCGCGAATTTCGAAATCCAAAGTCGCCGAAGCGAGACACCTCATGAAAGAACCGTGTCACGTAAAAAAACGAGAGACGTGGATTGATGGACCTATGCAAGAAGAAATATCCGCCGGTTATGGCTACATGGATAGCCACAAGAAAAATATGATCCGGAAATGGGTCGAGCACCAAACGTCTCAAATACAGAAAAAGACTGGCACCCACGGAAAACCAGCCGACCCCAAACTTTCGAAAGAGTCTACTAAAGAATTAACGCAATTCAAAACTTGTGATGGTGAAGTTGTTAAACCTGCTGGAACGTCCAAGCAGCAACCCATCGAAGAGTCGACCATAAGAACGGGATTGAAACTTGCGGCCGGAAAAAATAGCGACGTCATTCAGGAATGCGAAGGCGAGGAAACCTACGAAACTCAACGAGAAGAAGAACAAGAGGATGAAGATGAAACTGTGGAAATTCCTCCAGCGTTGCCATTAATCCAACCGTTAAGTAGTAGAGAGGTTTCTTTGGAAAGTTTAGATAATCTTTTGAAAGAAAGACTTTCGTCCAATCCCAATTATTCAAGCCAAAATCAGTATCAAGGTAACGAATATGGAGAACATTTGGGCAGTGATGATGAAATATTAGAGATAATTGAAGTAGAAGAACCTTTAGAACCAGTACCTACACAAGACTGTTGTTTACAAGTAACCGAAGAAGATATAGCTTTTTGTATGGGTATTTTAGAAAATCCTTTACCAGAAGTAGACCAAGAAAATCCTTTAGATCACCCTCTTAGAATACTAAGTCAAGAAAATTTAACTGTTGTTTCAACCTTTACGGATTCCATGTCAGTTTATACAGACCTAGAACGTATATTACCTCGAAACAGGTATGATCCTAAATACAATCCTTACAATAACGATTACGAAGATCCTGAAAATCCACGGCCCGGCCGTTTCGACGAAACCAATCGATTTCCTCAGTTATACCCCGTGTATTCGAATCCGATATCGAAAGTTAACCCTTCTCCTCTGGAATTTATCCAAAATAGACGGTTCGACCAAAAACAATTCAATCGTAGCGAATCTATGTCGTTGTCTGATATGCTTTATGGTATCGGTGGTGTAGGAGCTCATGAAACTAGCAGTATTTACAGCGAACCAGCTTACATCCCTGATCAGGAAAAATTCTGTGAAAATTGTAAAGTAAGTATGTCTAGACCAGCGACAGCGCAACATTGGTATGCTGATCCTTATTTATCGGCCAGCAGTACAGAACTGGTCATGCCATTTGTAGACGTTCCCTCATTGGGTCCCCGATTCCAAAGGTACAGTCACAAGTACAAAGACAATTTGGCATACCTGAGACATCCTGATGGAGCCTCGAATCCGAATTTAAAAGAAGAAAACGAAAGACTGACGAACAATGGGACCTTTTTGTCTCATAAGATGTGCAACGTTTCGACGATTTTGACTGAGACTGCGAAAACCACACGTCCATTGACACCTCCCAATAGTCTTCCATCCACGGAAAGGATCAATCCGAAGATAACGAGCGTAGAAGCTGGACTAACTTCTATTAAATTGAACCAAAAGACCGAAGAATACGACAGCGGACATGATTCTACGCCTCGTACATCGAAGCACAGTCCAGCAGCGATTTCGAGAAGAGCGGAAAGTGGCTATGACAGCGTCGTTCGTGATAGTGAAAGCTCTAGTATAGATTCAGAACCGACTAGATTGTCTCACAGCGCTCACGGAAAACGTGGTAAATGCAAACATAAGCATGACAAATCGTTTTGCTCCTGGTTTTTACATCCGTTTACCTGCAAATATATCGACGAACCTCCCGAAACCCATTTCTAATAAAAATCGCTTAGCAAATTAATAAGTAGCTTTTTTACTCAGGATCAAGGCTGTTGTCAGGATAAACAAGAGAGAAACAAACAGAGACAGCTTGTTTCGCGATAAAAATAAGTATAAGGGAAACACCAGACCCTTTGGAAAATTAAGAAAAGAAAATTTTAATGCACTTTTATACATACATATAAGCAAATAAAACCTGAAAGACTTTAAGTACGAATTTTTTGTATTTGTATTGTATATATAAACAATCACTAAATTATTTTTTGTCATTTTCGAAAAAAAAAAATTAATAACTCCCTTGCATATCATACTCGCCAACTGTGGGGAACAAAAATTTATATCTTATCAAAATTAAAATTAAAAACAAAAAAACATTTACCCAAAGCGAAAGACTGCTTGTCAATTTTAGATCTCAAAAATTCACTTACTACCCTTAATATCGATGCCATAAGAAATTGAACCCAGAATTTTTTTGTGATACTGTTGCTTAAGAATTTTTCGTTAGTTTTTCGTGTCCTATTTTTGTAGCAATGTACTATATACACGTAAGTATTTATAGTATATAAGTAACATAATGTATTTACTTGTAAAGGTTCATCTATTTATTTGACTTTTTATACTGTTGCTATTTAAATTCAGTTGTAATATAGCTGTTAGACTTTATTATTATTATTGTATAAGCGAAATAAATATTTGTAAAAATAAAGACTAAATTCATTCATTTGTTATTAAAAATTTTATTTTCTATCTACTCTTTTTATAAAGGGTGGACTATAGAGGAACAGTTGAATTTAGACGTCAAAATAAAATGACTCCACTGCTCATGTATGTATTAGTAAAACAATATTGATCTTTAAGAAGATACAAAAGGTGTACAGTTGATGAAGAGAGTTATTAATACTTATGGTAAAAAACCGTAATGCATTTTCGAGAAAAATTTATAAAAACTTAAAACAGTCCCAGAATATATTTAGGTATTAAAATTAAAAATGACGTATAGTAATGGTCAGTAATTAAGAATTATTACTACATATTTTTTATAAGTACAGACTTACAAGACTTTTAATGTAAGTACCTAGATAGTGCTGAGGATGCCGTGCTACTCCGTCACCGAAATCGGTCTCGCACGCGCATGACGTCATTTCAAGGCGTACAGAGCGAAAGCTTTTGAGAGTAAAAAGTACAAACCGTACGTAATTCCTCATATATTCATTAGAAAATTTGTTACATTATGGCGTAATTAAAGTTTTATATTACTGAAAATCAGAAACAACAAAATTACAATTACCCTCAGTAATATACATCTGCAAGTGCATGGGTAATAGTTTGAACTAGCATCCCGTACCATTTTAGCCTTCAAAATTTTACTAATTATAAAATATATGTATCTAATTATGTTATTTTATATCTAGAATCTGCAAATCCCTTATGATGTATTGCTTGTTTTTCATAGATCCCTAATATTGGGGAAGTTCTTTTCAAAAATTATTAGAGGAGAAAAAATGGGGTTACTTCTTTAATTATCTGCATAAATTGGTAAATAATTTTGTTTTGCACTAATTAATAATTAAATATTTCAAAACCTAAAAGTTGTAGTTCATAAAGGTACCAAGGTAGGTTTTTTACCATTTTTTTTTAAACTTTTCCTGTATCATTCGGCCTAAATTATTTGCTAAACATATAATACCGAATATAAAGAACATATTATTAAACTTGACCATTACAGTTAAACTTTATTGGCCAGTATAAATCGAGATAATGTGGCAGCATTCATTATGTTCGTATATTGAACTGTGAACTCTGAGATATTTTACTTATGTATGTACGTGATAAAGTACCAAAGAACGGAAGAGGGCACACTTTGAGTTGAGCGCGCTTAGAAAATGGTGTTTCGAAGTAGTGTTTACTGTTTGCTACTAGTTTCTTTACTAGTTTTAGTTCGGGCCATACCTAAACATTTACTCTATGACCATCAGGATATTGGCAAGAAATTGCCACCAGAAGATGAGGTTTCAAGTCCGGAAATAAAACTTAAAGTTCCTATTATTTTTTACGGACAAAAATATTCATCGTTGTTCGTAAGTTATGGTCATATTTTTAATTTATTTTCATTTCAAATTATATTGATTTAAAGGGATTACCAAAAATTTCACTAAATTTAATGTAGATCAAAAGCAATGTGTGTTTTATCGAAATTTATTTAAAATATTTTTATTTGATAATATTGTCTATTAAAAATTTAATCAGAGAATTTATAAATAATTTACTATCTCTCAGTTATACTTCATTTTAATATAGAATGTTTTGTTGAATTTATTAATAACAATACTAATTTTAGTTACATTTATTAAGAAAACAAAAAGATATCTCTGTCTGTCTTGATACATGTTATTGCATTATCAGTAATATTTTTTTTGCGGAAAATAACTACTACTATAACCGTTATTGGAATAATTAACATGAAATTGATGTTCATATTCCAAAAATTGAAATATTAAATACCTCTACTAGTTTCCTTTACATCTCTGAACAATTTTTTTACTAATTAATATTGAAAAACAATTGAGTAATATTATTTAATTAGAAAATAATTTATTTCAATCCTTAATACATTTGCCAAGTGCAAGTGGTAAAATATTCTTGTTTTCCAAATTAGCAGTACATTTCGGACTATTTATATTTTTTTTATTTGGAGAAGAGTATACCGAGTGTCCATTTTTATCATTAAAAGAATTATAATTACTACGTCACATCCTGTTTATGAAACCAGTATCAACAGCTCAACGGCTATTAATTTTTTATATTTTCCATTCTATGTCTTACACTATACAAAAATGTTTTTTATGATTATTATGTCAATGTTCACCAAATTTCGCAAAATTGGTATAATTAGTATCTGTGTGTTCATAAGATAATGATAAAAAGGTCAAATGCTTAATTACATTGTGTAAAGTTGAGGTTCATCGTCCTAATGTGTTTTCTTTTCCACATTCTATTATTAATTAATGAACTGTATACTTGTTTGAGTGATAACTAGTTCCTATAATAGTCATACGTACATACTCGCATATTTGTAGTACATTTACATGATTTTCTTCGATTCATTTCATTTTTACCAATCTAATGATTAGATACATGAAATTATATGTAAAAACAAATAACCGAATCCTCAAAATTTGCCCCAAATACGGTTATCAAATATTACTACGTTTGTTTGAAGATGATTTGAAACTGCGGCTATTACGAAAACAATTTATTTTGAAGAATCGACATATTCTGTAAACTAATTTATAGAACAAAAAGAAATGTATGAAGATACTCTTCCATATTATAAAATAGGGTAAACTTATATATCTACAGTAGACAGTACTTTCAATTGAATTGCAGATTTTAGATTTCTAGCAAATCATGGTAAATATTACAATAAGATCGTCCTTTACACCCGAATGACGACAGAATCAGTTAAACTAAAGACAACCTGTATATAGATTGGTAAAATAAGATAAACAACAATATATATATAGTATTTGACTTTCGTCTGTATCTCTGGTTGAAACAATTAAACATTGGAAAAATATTTTGCTAAAGTTAATCCTTTTTGGGCTAAATTATAAATTATAACAAAATATAACGCCTACATCCTTTTTTGTTAGTGGTAAGAAATTTATTTTCACAGGTAAATGCAAATGGACTTATATCATTCCAAACGGAAATTCCGGAATTTTTCAATATAGAATTTCCTTTAGATTACCCGATAATAGCTCCATTATATTCCAATGTAGACATAACTCGTTCGGGTACAATATCCTATTACGAGACTGACGATGCGAACCATCTCGAACGTGCAGCAAAAAATATTCACGATTCTTTTACTGATGCCACTGATTATCAACCTACGAGCCTATTTATTGTGACTTGGTCCTCAGTAGGATATCATTCTGGGGGTACTGATAAGCTAAACACGTTTCAAGTAGTTATTGCTTCTGATGGAGAGGAATCTTACGTGGAATTTCTTTATCCTGAAGGAGGAATACAATGGATTCAGGGGTCTGGGCACGAATCAGGGCTTCCTGATGCTAGAGCCCAGGCTGGTTTTGTCTCCGAGGAAAGGAGATATTATCTCTTACCCGGATCTGGTACAAACCAGGTTAAAAATTTGGAGAAGTAAGTTTACAAACAACTAAGACAAATATTATATTATAAAATGACGTTTTGGTCGTAATAAATAAGTCAAGAATATTGAAAATTGTTACACAAATGTTTTACAGAAAATTATGTTAAATTTTGACTAAGAGGTAGGTAGTTAGAGTATTATTGCAAATTGACTTAGTTCCTGTAATGTAACACATTAAGTGTGCCAAATGTCATCATGAAATAATTGTTTCCGCCTTAAAACTAGAAAATTCATCTCAAAATGCGAGAAAATTAGATACTGTAAAATTGCCTAACGTTGCTTCTACATCATCGACATGATCTATAAAAACTATTAGCAGCACATTGTACATGTTGCTGAACAAATTGTTCATATGCAACCATTCATTAATATTATTTCCTATAATTTTTATAACTTCCTACAATTACTTTGTAGATTATCAAATGTTAATATAGATGGTGTTTGGATATTTCGTATCGGCACTATCGGAGAAGATATTGCCATCATTGAACCGGATGTTTTTAAAGGTATATTGACCCGATTTTTATTAAACAATTGTCGTCTACTATTATTAAAGACATATTGATCAATTACAATTCTTAGATAGAGGAGTTAATTCTCAAAAAACATGCGAAAAAGGCGCTGCTACGTGTAACACTTTCGCAAAATGCACAGATTACAAAGAAGGATTTTGTTGTCATTGCAAAACAGGTTATTACGGCAATGGCAAACATTGTATAAAGGACGGTAAGATAATAGATAAGTATTATCCCTAAACTATACCATATAAAATATCTTATAATACAGATGCACCCCTAAGAGTTAACGGCAAAGTTAATGGCAATATAAATGGCGAATNAGACAGCACCTTCAACAGAATTGTAGATTTCAGATTTCTAGCAAATCATTGTAAATATTACAATAAGATCGTCTTTTAGACCCGAATGACGACAGAATCAGTTAAACGAGTCTCGCGTTGATAATGCTAAATAAAGTGGTAATTAGGGGTGAGCCTTCCTTTTAATTTTTAATTATACTCTTCCATATTATAAAATAGGGTGAACTCATATAGGTATCTAGATTAGACAGCACCTTCAACAGAATTGTAGATTTCAGATTTCTAGCAAATCATTGTAAATATTACAATAAGATCGTCTTTTAGACCCGAATGACGACAGAATCAGTTAAACTAAAAACAACCTGTATGTATATTGGTAAAATAAGATTTTGAAACAATTAAATATTGAAAAAATATTTTGCTTAAGTAAATCCTTTTTAGGCTAAATTATAAATTATAACAAAATATAACACCTGCATCCTTTTTTGTTAGTGGTAAGAAATTTATTTTCACAGGTAAATGCAAATGGACTTATATCATTCCAAACGGAAATTCCGGAATTTTTCAATATAGAATTTCCTTTAGATTACCCGATAATAGCTCCATTATATTCCAATGTAGACATAACTCGTTCGGGTACAATATCCTATTATGAGACTGACGATGCGAACCATCTCGAACGTGCAGCAAAAAATATTCACGATTCTTTTACTGATGCCACTGATTATCAACCCACGAGCCTATTTATTGTGACTTGGTCCTCAGTAGGATATCATTCTGGGGGTACTGATAAGCTAAACACGTTTCAAGTAGTTATTGCTTCTGATGGAGAGGAATCTTACGTGGAATTTCTTTATCCTGAAGGAGGGATACAATGGATTCAGGGGTCTGGGCACGAATCAGGGCTTCCTGATGCTAGAGCCCAGGCTGGTTTTGTCTCCGAGGAAAGGAGATATTACCTCTTACCCGGATCTGGTACAAACCAGGTTAAAAATTTGGAGAAGTAAGTTTACAAACAACTAAAATAAATATTATATTATAAAATGACGTTTTGGTCGTAATAAATAAGTCAAGAATATTGAAAATTGTTACACAAATGTTTTACAGAAAATTATGTTAAATTTTGACTAAGAGGTAGGTAGTTAGAGTATTATTGCAAATTGACTTAGTTCCTGTAATGTAACAAATTAAGTGTGCCAAATGTCATCATGAAATAATTGTTTCCGCCTTAAAACTAGAAAATTCATCTCAAAATGCGAGAAAATTAGATACTGTAAAATTGCCTAACGTTGCTCCTACATCATCGACATGATCTATAAAAACTATTAGCAGCACATTGTACATGTTGCTGAACAAATTGTTCATATGCAACCATTCATTAATATTATTTCCTATAATTTTTATAACTTCCTACAATTACTTTGTAGATTATCAAATGTTAATATAGATGGTGTTTGGATATTTCGTATCGGCACTATCGGAGAAGATATTGCCATCATTGAACCGGATGTTTTTAAAGGTATATTGACCCGATTTTTATTAAACAATTGTCGTCTACTATTATTAAAGACATATTGATCAATTACAATTCTTAGATAGAGGAGTTAATTCTCAAAAAACATGCGAAAAAGGCGCTGCTACGTGTAACACTTTCGCAAAATGCACAGATTACAAAGAAGGATTTTGTTGTCATTGCAAAACAGGTTATTACGGCAATGGCAAACATTGTATAAAGGACGGTAAGATAATAGATAAGTATTATCCCTAAACTATACCATATAAAATATCTTATAATACAGATGCACCCCTAAGAGTTAACGGCAAAGTTAATGGCAATATAAATGGCGAATCGTTGACAAATCTAGATCTCCAATCATATATTGTTATGGTTGATGGTCGTACTTACACAGCTCTCTCAAAAATTCCCCTTTCGATTGGTTACGATTTTCAAACTTTGCAGCTCTTGGGAGGTATAATTGGATGGTTATTTGCCAAACCATCACGCGACAGCTTAAACGGTTTTCAACTGACGGGGGGTATCTTTAACTACACTGCAACAATAACGTTTCCCCAAGAAAACAAAAAAGTAACAATCCATACTAAATTTTTGGGTCTTGATGTATTCGATCAGCTTCGCCTGGAAACTAAGATAGAAGGAGAAACCCCAAAAATACCCGGCGAATCGAAGATTTCAATGCCCGCATATGAAGAAATGCTGACTCTAACATCCCCCGGTACTATTCAGTCTATTTCAGAGCGACACGTTAAGTACATTACAGNAACGTTTCCCCAAGAAAACAAAAAAGTAACAATCCATACTAAATTTTTGGGTCTTGATGTATTCGATCAGCTTCGCCTGGAAACTAAGATAGAAGGAGAAACCCCAAAAATACCCGGCGAATCGAAGATTTCAATGCCCGCATATGAAGAAATGTTGACTCTAACATCCCCCGGTACTGTTCAGTCTATTTCAGAGCGACACGTTAAGTACATTACAGTTGATAAAGATGAAATTAGAATACCAATTAATGTGAACCAAAACATCGTGTTTTCCTATTGTCCATATGGTGATGTACCCTCTAGAATTACTTGGAGATTAAAAGTTGCCAAAAACTTTATAAGTTACGAAAGTAGGGAGCAGATTATCAGATTTGGATTAACGAGTAAAGTAACATCATTAACAGGTCCGTAAGATAAATTTTATAGAGATATGAGACTTGTCAAGGTCTTATTTATTTCTCATAGAAAAGGATCCTTGCGATGAAGGTAAAAGTACTTGCGGTCCAGACAGTTCTTGTGTGGTAGAAAATGACTCTTTTCGTTGCGTTTGTAACCCCGGATATCAATACATTTACGTCGACAATCAACAAGTTTGCCAAGATATTGATGAATGTCAAGCTGGTTTAAATGATTGCCATCAAAACGCACAATGTATTAATCATAAAGGATCATTCACATGCAGGTACTTAAGTAAAGGAACTATTATTCTAGCTCTAGAAAGTTACGGAGCCATTATTCTACCTCTGCATCATAAACCAATTTTTCGCGCTGGTGTTCCAGTGTTTTGTAAATTGCATTCGAGTATTTTTTAAATAATACAATAAAATTGTACACTGAATATCCCCAAAGTATTGCGTTTCAACGTACAGAGTGATTTATAAATGATGGGAAATATTTGAACTGGAATCTTAAGCTCAAAAAATGAAGATTTAACTTCAAAAAGGTTTGTGTCCATTATTTTAAAACTATTTGATGTCTCTGTATCAGGTACTGTACCCTACGTACCTATACACTAAATTATGATAAGGCGAAATTACTACGACAGGGTCAGGTAAGAGTTTGACCCTTCTGGAATTGCAGGCTACGAGTGGAATTTTCAGTACAAAGTTAAAACAATGTTACTTACTTATATACTCAGAACTCAGCAACGAGCTACGTGATTTGGATTAAATTTTAACCTGTTGAGCCCAAGATTTTCCAGTTCGATATTTCTCATTATTAATGGATCATCCTGTAAAACTTCGTATGTTTTTAAACTTTGTCAATGTACGTATACTATTATTTAATTGTTATTGTTCATTTATTCATTTATTCTATCATGTCCGGACAGTCAATATTATTGCCTAATTGTCTAAATTTTCCAAATTTAATTAACCACTAAACTTACTTATACCTATATTATTAATTATACATAAAAAAGGACAACGCATTACAATATAAAATTACCATTCTGATCTACTATTGTGCAGATGTGATAATCTATATGAAGGAAATGGAAGATTTTGCGAGCCGACGAAATCGTGCTACTCAGTAACGTGTCCGGAAAACTCAGAATGCAAAGAAAATCCTTTTGCCTATTGCGAGTGCTTACAAGGATTTACAAGAGCTTCCGATCAGTCATGTGTGGCCGAAACAACTGAAAGCTGCTATTACTCGAACAACTGTTCTCCTTATGGAGTTTGCTCCCCAGATCCAGAAACAAATCAGTACCGCTGTTCCTGCATAGAAGAGTATGAAGGAGACGGATACGATTGTCGTCCCTCCAATACAACCACAGTTGCAGAATCAACGACTGAAAGCGTCGTTATTCAACAATGTTTGCTTGGAACGTGTTGGTGTCCTACTGGTTACAAAAAACATGAAAGTGATAAATGCATACTAGATGTTGAATCCACCACAGCAGCTGAAACCAGTCTCAAGCCTGGCACGATTAATCAGCAGTGCTTTTTAGGGAACTGTTGGTGTCCTGAAGGTTACCAAAAATATGGGGAACGATACTGTGTACCTGACACTGAAGCAACTTCAACTTATTCAACAGTTACTGAAACGGAACAAGTTGATGAACCAACGGAAATAGGTAATTACCCAATAGATAAAAATAGATTAAGGTAGATAAGTAAATGAGACTGTCGAAGAAGAAACTACTATATGTAGGGATTTCTGGGTTAAGAAAATTCAGCCTTATGTCATTTACTTCTCCTCGGTATACAAAAAAATATTTGGTTTTAGAATTTTATGTCGTTATATCAAGATTTTTTATTAAATCCAAGCAGTTATCATTGAGAATAAAATCGCATGCATGAGGTGTGGCAATTAGATTCCCGGAATATGTGTATAAAACACACATGAATAAAGATTTAACCAATAATGTATGGTCGGTCCCCCACAGTAGTTGCCCTTTGACTCTATACCGTTTAGAACCATCGTCACATCTGCCTTGACCTCATCTATCTATGCCGTCATGATAATTACCTACCCTTGAGGCAAGATTTCACTTTTGGGAACAGAAGAAAGTTGCATGGGGTTAAATGTGGACCATAGAGGGAATAAGACAACGTGAGGATACTATTTTTGGTCAAACATTCGCGAACAACCAACTAAGAATGCTTGTACCGTTGTCAAGATGAAAAAATGAACACACTCGCGGGGGATAATACCCTAAATATCAAAAAAGAAAAACGATCTGAAGGTTCTTCATCATGGCGTTAAACATCCTTGCTTTCGTTCGTCGTTCAATTCTCTCTCTCTCTGCTGAAAAGTTTTCTTAAACACTTCGCCGACAATTTCAGAAGGTTTTTCACCACATTTTACACCTTGTTGACTATTTGAGACATTCGTTTTTGCAACTTAACTTACGAAAAACACAGATAGAAATCACCTACCAATTTCAAACTTTTACCAGCACTAAAAGAATGTCTTCTAATTACTACAACCAAGTGAGTTGTAACCCCGTAGTGTAATTAGATGGAAAGTTATAAGTAACTAAATTCTAGGAACTCAATTGCCACACGTCGTATAAGAATTTAAAAAAGAATATTAACAAAGTGAAAAATTTCAGTTCAAAGTAATTGTCAATCCATGAAGATAAAGTTCCCATTATAGTGAGATCGACGTTACTATATACCTACCGAGATTTTAATATAGTATAATAATTGGAGATTGACTTATTTACTAATAGGCCAAAAGAGCCCTTATGGGTAGAGTCTTCTTTCAAACTTATATTTTTTTAGCTTCGTGTGAGAATTTAAGCGATTGTCACATTAATGCCCAATGCATTTATGTACAAGCCACTCGTAGTTACCAATGTATTTGCAATTTTGGGTACGAAGGGGATGGATATGATTGCGTGCAAGCAGAAGTGTCTTGCACAGAAGCTGATATTTGCGATATACATGCAGTATGTAAATACAATGACACAGTTGGTAAATCTACATGCGTATGCGACTTTGGTTACGAAGGTGATGGAAAATCATGTCAAAAATTGGGTAGGTTCAATTCAATCTTAGGTAATATTAGAACGACCACAATAGTCAACCCTTTTTAAAAATGTTTTATTTGGTTCGAAGTCTCACACTTTTGTACGTTTTGGGCAATCTTTTAAATACAGACCACTTCGAATTATTTTAATCTTTTTTAAATGTTATGATATATTTAAAATGTATCATTTTGATGCATTTTTTCATGTTGTATGTATTAATAAAATGTTCAATAGCTGCGTGCAGAGGCGATAAAGATTGTCCTACCAATGAGCAATGTAGATACAATCAAGAATCACAAAGCTATGAGTGTGATTGTAAAGAGGGAATGGAAAGGGATTCTCAACATATTTGTAATAAGGTGGAAGGCATGTGTGGGGCAGCTATTTGTGTAGATAACTCGGAATGCCTTTATGACAGAGAAAACCAAATATATTATTGTAGCTGTAGAGACGGGTATATTGGAGATGGAATTAATGAGTGTAATCCTCGACCACTGGGTATGAACTCTTGTTTTTTTTTTAATTATTTTTACCGCCAGTATTATTTTTTCCAAATCGTATAACTTCCACTGTAGGATGTGATGTCACCAATGATTGTGGTCGAAACGCAGCATGTATTTACGACGAAGAATATGGTTTTTATCAGTGTAAATGTAACGAGGGTTTCCATGGTGATGGAAAACAGTGTTTCGCAGAAAAAAATTGTCACGTTGATCCTTACATTTGCGATTCTCGAGCTGTTTGTGTGACAAATTCTCAAAGAGAGTTCGTATGCCAGTGTCAACCAGGGTTTAGTGGTGATGGTAAACACTGCAAGGAAACCCCCGTTCACGAAGGCAATTTCCTTTTACTTAACCAAGGAGTTGCTACATTAAAAATTCCCTTCGATGCTTCCAAAAAGAATCCAGGACGACCAATCCATATCAATCATCAAACTGCCGTTGGTTTAGACATTGATTGCTTCGACGGTAGGGTCTATTGGAGCGATATTAATGGTAGAACTATTTTGAGTGCTTTCTATAACGGATCTTCAGTTGCTAAATTTATAGCAATAGGTAACGATAATTTTAAAAACAACAAGAAGTAACAACTGATGCGTATTTATATATTTTTCGTATTAGATATTGTTTCACCCGAGGGACTGAGTGTAGATTGGGTGTCCCGTAACATTTATTGGACTGATTCAACTAAAGATACAATTGAAGTAGCAAACATTGACAAAAAAATAAGAAAAGTTTTATTCAATACGAGTTTAGTGAATCCACGAGGGATTGCAGTTCATCCCCAAAGAGGGTCAGTATCTATGTGTATAAGTAGGCTGTATGGTTGTAACAATTTTTTTTGGATATCTTCAATTAAGTTTACCGAAAAATTAATTTTATTGAAAAATATTCATCACAATTAAAAAAGTTTAGAACTTGGTTACTATCGCCATTAGTAAAAGCGTTAAATTCTAGTAAAATATTTTGGTCGGACTGGGACCGAAGGGGACCCAAAATTGAGTGGGCTAACGCCGATGGTACAGATCGTCAAACTTTTTTACAAGGTGATAATGTAAAATTGCCAAATTCGTTAGCCATTGATTTTGAAACAGAACAATTATGTTATGCTGATGCTGGAACTAAAAATGTGGAATGCGTAGAAATAGATAGTCGATTAAGACATATAATTGCGGTCAATTGTACCTATCCATTTGGAATAGCCGTTACTGACAAAACGATTTATTGGTCAGACTGGATTTCGTAAGTCAATTGTCTCATTAAAAACAAGTAATTAATTGATGATGTGTATGTACATATAGGAAAAAAGTCGAACGAGTTGATAAATATTCCCTTAAACGTTTGCCACCACTAGATGTACCATTGGGTGGTACTGGAAACAAACTTTATGGATTAGTCGCAGTTCCAGAACGTTGTCCATCGCTCACAAATGTTTGTGAACATTTTAAAAACAACTGCCCTTCGGGGCACTTCTGCGTTCCTGATGGAAGAGGTAGTCGCAGGTGCCTTTGTGGTAAAAACATCGACTCAAACAACATAGAAGTGCCCTGCCAGAATTAATATAATTTATATCAAGAAAAAAATACTTATAAGGTGTACCTAATATTACATTCCTAAGTAATTTTACTTATCTGAAACTATTTATTTGCATAATTAATACTCATATATGTAAAATTGGCAATATTTTCTTGTAAATTAATTTCTGTTCGAATAATCATTTTTATTTTGTTGTAAAATAAACTAAGAAATTGTTCTTTTGATTTTATTATAAATGTAAATAAATAGCTAAAAAATCATAATGGCTGATTGTGGCAACAATACGAAAACAATTAAAAAAGTATGATGGCCGACCATGACAACAATACTCCAACAATCAAAAAATCATGATGGCCGACGTTGACAATTAAAAAAGCATGATGGCCGACTGCGACAACAATTAAAAAAGAATGATGGCCGACTGCGACAACAATTAAAAAGAATGATGGCCGACTGTGACAACAATTAAAAAAGAATGATGGCCGACAATAGGGTTTACACTGAATAAGTTTAAGTTGAAAGTTAATTTGTTAATTAATATTTAAACTTGCTCAAAATTTTAAAAAATAGTAAATTATAAGTACTCTTTATGTTTGTGCTAGGAATGTCCCCACAAATTAACGATTAAAAACCAGATGTAAGTTCTACATTTCTTTATTGTAAGTAAAACGTTAAGTATTACAAAACTTGTCATGCACTTAATGCTAATTGTATAAAATTGGAACACAGTAAATTGAACACAACCTGTCCTTTGCAGTGATATAAATCAATTTAAAAATTGTATTAGAAATGTAATTTACTAGTGAATAAAATAGAAACACAAATATTATACTTAAAATTTTATTAGCATGCCTAATAAGTCTATAAGTTTCAGCTCTTCCTCTCAGTTTCTGGTGGAGAACTATTTGGACTTCCTTCATAAGTCGATCGATGTTTCAATAAGAAAGCAGCTAAAGCATTTATTGGTTCTGGAGGTCTTTCTTTGGATAAGTACGAGAGGCCTTGCAATAAAATGGGCACCACAGTTTGATCCAAATACTGCCTAGTAGGTAATGAAGCTAAGTCCACTCTAGATTTTTTCGGTTGAAATTCTTCTTTGTTTTCCATTTGGAGAAGAGTCTTAAAAAAAGTAGTGTCATAACCTTAAAGACTAACAAAATGTATGAGACTTACCTTTATTAACTGGCAAAATTTAGGTGATTGAAATAAGTTACAATTGCTATCTGACTTCGTTTCAAGAGGTACCTTAATTTCTGAATCAGTTTCTACAAAAACCGAAAATTTTAAAAGAACAACCCAAACAATTCTCCCATTTTACAAATTGGTGATCACACTACCATAAGCAGTGATATATGTATAGTTTAAAGAACTAGTAAATCGTTTGTGAATTTTATTGCTTAAAAAATATGTAATGCCTAAACAAATGTAGTGAATTTGTTTTTCGTAATTAGTTTGTTTTCAATACAGGCAGTATTTGAAATATGTTATAAAATTTTAGAAGCTGTTATTTAGATACATTCACATTACCTGGCTTCTGCGCAGAAACATCGTCGATATTGATATTTGCAGAAGTAACGGTGTTTGAACGTGATGTATGTTGTGAAGACATTTTTTAGATGAAAAATCTGTATTAGTTCTGAAATCTTCAGTTTATATTATAAAAGAACAGTTGCCAAATAATATAACGTTTAAGTGTCAAAAGTTGTCTCTTGTTTTCACGACTAATGGGATCATGAAAGTGACCATCAAAAGTAAGTATGTTTTTCGAAAATATAACCTGTAAATTTTAATAACATTTATTTTTTCAAGATTGGGTTGGAGTTGCTACATGGAAATGGGTAGCAAATGATGATAATTGCGGTATTTGTCGCATGCCTTTTGATGGTTGCTGTCCAGATTGTAAACTACCAGGTGATGACTGCCCACTAGTTTGGGGCCAATGTTCTCATTGTTTTCATATGCACTGCATTGTCAAGTGGCTTCAGTCTCAACAAGTAAATCAACAGTGCCCTATGTGTCGCCAGGAATGGAAATTCAACAATAAATAGTTCTACACTGGTAAGTATCCATTTGGACCTAATTGTACATCTTGTATTTGTTTGTATGAAAAGGGCTCTTACTTATATTAGTAATTGTTTATAAGAATTGTATTAACACCATTTTATAACTTGACATTGGTTTAAGTACAACTTAGAACAGCATATTTTGACATGATCAAATGAATGTATACCATTTGAATTCAAATCATTAGGTTGTTGCTTTCGATTTAAAGAAGGCATTCAGTTCCTCTCCTTAAAGTTCTGAATTTTTTATTCGTTATTTTGGAAATTATATAATTTTGAAAGTAATGTTTGTGGTTTTACCTTCGCATTACCATTTTTTAAGTCTTTGTTCTTTTTGACAAGATTTATGTGTTTTTCTAATTATACCTATCTATCTAATTTTATTGGAATTCTTTGGTAAAAACTGAATACTAATAAATTTAGTTTGCAATAAACTATAGCCTCTATATTATAATATATGTTATTTGTTTCGTTTTCTTTTTATACAAACTGTAGTTCTAATTAACAGTCAGTTAGATGATCACTCCTTTTTTATCGACTTTATAAAAACCCCTGGCAAATAAAATCTAAGTTGTGTAGGTAACTTAATTAGATATTAATGAAGTGGTCGAATTTATGGTTTTATCATGATGATAGGAGTTACAGTTTATTGGAGTAAAGACCCGAGGGTATTTGTATAAAATATTCATGTGTAAAAATAAACGTCCCATTAAATGATGAATAAGTAGTATTGAAATATTAAATTGCAAGCAGCTATATTTGTAAATTTCTTGAATCAGGTAGATATCAAATCCTCACAGTTTCATATTTACATGCCAAAACAAGACGAAATAATCATAATTGCTGAAAATATCTATATTTGATTATCTTACTGGAAATTTAATTAAAAAATGTACAGATTTAGGTCTTTGTAAACAGTAATACAGTAATAAATAAAACCACAGAAAAATGCAGATAAAAAAATCAGGTCAAACATATTTTTGACCATTTCCGGTCTTAAAATACTCCATGAAATATTTATTGCTACTTTTTTATTTGATCAGAGGGCAGTTTTAAACGATAGCTTAAAACATTTGTTTCCTGGGAACACTTCCGGAAATAGCAATCACTTTTGAATGGAAACTGTGTTTATTATTTTTGAGAAGAGTAAAAAGGCTTGAAATATAAACTTTATTTATTTACGTCTTCCTTTCTACAATGGAAGTAGTTCAGCTTTTATAGGCTGCATCGATTCACACGTGTACATGTTTTGCCGTTATCCTTCATCACATACACATACACAGGACGAAAAAATATTGTCAGACGTATGACTTCTCACGTATAATGCATTCCTATGATGTACAGTGGTGCTAATTGAAAACGCAAAGAAGACAACTCTATTATGTCCGAAAAGTGGATTTAAGTTTTCCTTTTATTGACTCAAGAATTTAAGACGGTATGGTTCGGGAATTTCAAAGGATACATCTAAAAACATAAAAAAAAATCGTTTTAAGAAGAGTACCTAACATTTTAATTTAACGTTTGTTACCTCTATAATAAGTGGTTAAAACAATTTTTACCCTTTCAAATGTAAAAAATCCTCAACTAAAATGAGCGCTGTGGCTCAATTGTAAAGAGGTCGCTTTTATTATTTTAATTTCCCATTTGATTTTATTCAAATTGAAATGACTTGTAATCAGGTCTATTTTTTTTTTCAAATGACCATAATATTCTTAAAGCTAACTCTGAACATCAATTTAAAAATTGTATTAGAAATGTAATTTACTAGTGAATAAAATAGAAACACAAATATTATACTTAAAATTTTATTAGCATGCCTAATAAGTCTATAAGTTTCAGCTCTTCCTCTCAGTTTCTGGTGGAGAACTATTTGGACTTCCTTCATAAGTCGATCGATGTTTCAATAAGAAAGCAGCTAAAGCATTTATTGGTTCTGGAGGTCTTTCTTTGGATAAGTACGAGAGGCCTTGCAATAAAATGGGCACCACAGTTTGATCCAAATACTGCCTAGTAGGTAATGAAGCTAAGTCCACTCTAGATTTTTTCGGTTGAAATTCTTCTTTGTTTTCCATTTGGAGAAGAGTCTTAAAAAAAGTAGTGTCATAACCTTAAAGACTAACAAAATGTATGAGACTTACCTTTATTAACTGGCAAAATTTAGGTGATTGAAATAAGTTACAATTGCTATCTGACTTCGTTTCAAGAGGTACCTTAATTTCTGAATCAGTTTCTACAAAAACCGAAAATTTTAAAAGAACAACCCAAACAATTCTCCCATTTTACAAATTGGTGATCACACTACCATAAGCAGTGATATATGTATAGTTTAAAGAACTAGTAAATCGTTTGTGAATTTTATTGCTTAAAAAATATGTAATGCCTAAACAAATGTAGTGAATTTGTTTTTCGTAATTAGTTTGTTTTCAATACAGGCAGTATTTGAAATATGTTATAAAATTTTAGAAGCTGTTATTTAGATACATTCACATTACCTGGCTTCTGCGCAGAAACATCGTCGATATTGATATTTGCAGAAGTAACGGTGTTTGAACGTGATGTATGTTGTGAAGACATTTTTTAGATGAAAAATCTGTATTAGTTCTGAAATCTTCAGTTTATATTATAAAAGAACAGTTGCCAAATAATATAACGTTTAAGTGTCAAAAGTTGTCTCTTGTTTTCACGACTAATGGGATCATGAAAGTGACCATCAAAAGTAAGTATGTTTTTCGAAAATATAACCTGTAAATTTTAATAACATTTATTTTTTCAAGATTGGGTTGGAGTTGCTACATGGAAATGGGTAGCAAATGATGATAATTGCGGTATTTGTCGCATGCCTTTTGATGGTTGCTGTCCAGATTGTAAACTACCAGGTGATGACTGCCCACTAGTTTGGGGCCAATGTTCTCATTGTTTTCATATGCACTGCATTGTCAAGTGGCTTCAGTCTCAACAAGTAAATCAACAGTGCCCTATGTGTCGCCAGGAATGGAAATTCAACAATAAATAGTTCTACACTGGTAAGTATCCATTTGGACCTAATTGTACATCTTGTATTTGTTTGTATGAAAAGGGCTCTTACTTATATTAGTAATTGTTTATAAGAATTGTATTAACACCATTTTATAACTTGACATTGGTTTAAGTACAACTTAGAACAGCATATTTTGACATGATCAAATGAATGTATACCATTTGAATTCAAATCATTAGGTTGTTGCTTTCGATTTAAAGAAGGCATTCAGTTCCTCTCCTTAAAGTTCTGAATTTTTTATTCGTTATTTTGGAAATTATATAATTTTGAAAGTAATGTTTGTGGTTTTACCTTCGCATTACCATTTTTTAAGTCTTTGTTCTTTTTGACAAGATTTATGTGTTTTTCTAATTATACCTATCTATCTAATTTTATTGGAATTCTTTGGTAAAAACTGAATACTAATAAATTTAGTTTGCAATAAACTATAGCCTCTATATTATAATATATGTTATTTGTTTCGTTTTCTTTTTATACAAACTGTAGTTCTAATTAACAGTCAGTTAGATGATCACTCCTTTTTTATCGACTTTATAAAAACCCCTGGCAAATAAAATCTAAGTTGTGTAGGTAACTTAATTAGATATTAATGAAGTGGTCGAATTTATGGTTTTATCATGATGATAGGAGTTACAGTTTATTGGAGTAAAGACCCGAGGGTATTTGTATAAAATATTCATGTGTAAAAATAAACGTCCCATTAAATGATGAATAAGTAGTATTGAAATATTAAATTGCAAGCAGCTATATTTGTAAATTTCTTGAATCAGGTAGATATCAAATCCTCACAGTTTCATATTTACATGCCAAAACAAGACGAAATAATCATAATTGCTGAAAATATCTATATTTGATTATCTTACTGGAAATTTAATTAAAAAATGTACAGATTTAGGTCTTTGTAAACAGTAATACAGTAATAAATAAAACCACAGAAAAATGCAGATAAAAAAATCAGGTCAAACATATTTTTGACCATTTCCGGTCTTAAAATACTCCATGAAATATTTATTGCTACTTTTTTATTTGATCAGAGGGCAGTTTTAAACGATAGCTTAAAACATTTGTTTCCTGGGAACACTTCCGGAAATAGCAATCACTTTTGAATGGAAACTGTGTTTATTATTTTTGAGAAGAGTAAAAAGGCTTGAAATATAAACTTTATTTATTTACGTCTTCCTTTCTACAATGGAAGTAGTTCAGCTTTTATAGGCTGCATCGATTCACACGTGTACATGTTTTGCCGTTATCCTTCATCACATACACATACACAGGACGAAAAAATATTGTCAGACGTATGACTTCTCACGTATAATGCATTCCTATGATGTACAGTGGTGCTAATTGAAAACGCAAAGAAGACAACTCTATTATGTCCGAAAAGTGGATTTAAGTTTTCCTTTTATTGACTCAAGAATTTAAGACGGTATGGTTCGGGAATTTCAAAGGATACATCTAAAAACATAAAAAAAAATCGTTTTAAGAAGAGTACCTAACATTTTAATTTAACGTTTGTTACCTCTATAATAAGTGGTTAAAACAATTTTTACCCTTTCAAATGTAAAAAATCCTCAACTAAAATGAGCGCTGTGGCTCAATTGTAAAGAGGTCGCTTTTTTTATTTTAATTTCCCATTTGATTTTATTCAAATTGAAATGACTTGTAATCAGGTCTATTTTTTTTTTCAAATGACCATAATATTCTTAAAGCTAACTCTGAACTTTCCAAACTTGTATGACAACACATCATTATCATAATTAGAAGAAATTATAGCCATCTGAAAAATACTACATTTCCTACTGCTGGGAAATTCTTTATGATAATTTTTTATTTAAACAGAAACTGCAGTTTTTACGTAACTTTACTCAATATTGTCAGAGTTTATGTCTCTATCAATGGAACAGTCAAACAGTTCAACAGTTTCGTTATTCTTTAGTTGTTTTAAACAAGGAAAGCTTTTTTCTCCAGAATAATTTCCATTCAAAACTGATGGCAAAGCGCGATACACGCGAAGAGCTTTATCTAAGCAAAATACAAATGTTAGCCTCATAGACGGAAGTATCCTGTATTCAGCCTTTTACTGCAAGTTGTATGTTATTTTTCCACATATGTAAGTAAGTATGTGGTTGTACGCATATGTGTTGCTAGCGTGAAGTGAACATTGTTCGTCCCTTGTACTGTTGACTTTTGAGCCGTTCGGGTTTATCGTGAAATAGCTATTACCATTACCAGGGCAAAGTAGATATAAAACGGACGGGCGTAATTACAGAACGCAAACGAAGCGCGAAGTAACGACACGAAAATGCAATATGGGAATGACCAAATTGCACCAGCGTTTCTAGTACAACTCTCGCCTCGGTTCATGGTCGCAGAGTCTAAGACACTCAAGTGAGAAACATGAAATTTGTACAAGTTTCTTTTAAAAAAAGGATTATAAGATTATTATTATTATCGTGTTTATTGAGATTTTTAAGTTAGGTTGTTTATGCACTAGCTCCTCTTACTTGGTAAAATATAGGGGCAGATTTCTAACATATAAACAATAACAAATAAAACGGTACTTAACAGTTAAAATACTCATAAGGGAAATTTTAATTTTTCGCCAAACATTACTTTAGCGTACAATTATCAACATAGAGAACTTATTAAATTTCTCTGACAAACGAATATTTACCAGCTTATCACCGACAAAGTATATGTATAATTTAGTACATATTTTAGAGAATACCAAACAATGGCCAAAGGTCTAAAACCGTTATTATTACTGGACTATCCTTTGCATGTTTCTTCCAATGATCCTTTAAACGTTTAAACAATCCTTATATCAACAATAAGCTAAATTGCTGATTGTACTATTAGATATGATTGTACCGTTGTCGTCCAAATGCGCATCTACAAGAAGGCTTTGTATTTCAGTTGTTAACACAACATTAAATAAATAATGATAAATTATCATTATTTATGCGTTTAAAGGATTGATGGTGAGCTTGAAAGCCTGGAGTGTCTATTATTGCAAATTTTTTTAACTGATTTTTTTGTGAACAAAGGCAATTATAAATTTTCCTTTTTTAAAGATAACTTCTTTATATGCAAATACTTTGCTTAGGTAGGTACTTACATTAACTTCAATTGCTAATAAATTACGTGCAGAGAATAACGGTTATTACTATTTATCATTTTTGTTTATTTTATCATCAATCGTAGGCTGTAAATAATAATATCTTAGGAAATAATATTGGGTTTTAAGGTTAATAAGTAGTTATTCATGAATAAAAAAAATCATCAGCGGCACCATTATTACCGCATAATTAGCATTAATGCTACCGTTATACCTATTGTGAATTCCTTTCGGAGTACGCCTTAAATTGTTTATCTAATGAATTGGAATTAGAATAAATATGATTTTTTAATAGGTATCTGCAGTTGGCTAATTAAATATTTTTATACTTGTATCAAATTTAATTCAATATACCGTTCTGATTCGGGTCTGAAGGCCGCTGTGTGTTGGGGTTGTGGACAATCCACATCCAATATCGGAAATGGAAAGATCTCTGAAGAAGTTCGCTACTCGTGCTAACGAAACTTGGGAAGCAACTTCAACACACACGGCCTTTAAACCCGAATCAGAACACCGTCAGTTCACCTACTGGCCGCGAAAGCCTACCAATTTGTCAAGATTATGTTCTCTTTTATTATTTAAATAACAGGTAGATGCTAGAACAGAAACAATTTAGGTGGTATTTTATCGCGAACGGTAAATTTAGATATTCGAGAAAGATTGTTAAAGATGTATGTTTAGAGCGCGGCGCTGTACGGGTGCGAAACATTGACGGTGGGCGCGGTGGAAAGTAAAAGGTTAGGAGCGTTCGAAATATGGTGTTCCAGGCGAATGTTGAGGATAGAAAATGTTAGGAATGAGGAGGTATTACAAAGAATAGGAGAAAGGGGACTTGATGGAAGGCGAGATAAGTTGGTAGGACACCTTCTCAAGCATGAAGGACCAGTTAAAGACATTTTATAAGCAGAAACAGGAGTTAAGAGGAGTAGAGGTAGGTGTAGATAGGATTACTGTTCGCAAATAATGAAGGATGTAGGTTGTTGTCGTTTTTGGGAAATGCGAAGATTAGCTCAGGATAGTAAAAAGTGGAGGTGCGTGTCCAACCAGTCTTAGGACTGACGACCTTATGATGATGATTAATGACAAATTAAATAATCGCAGTAATTTAATTTAAGAAGTAAAGAAAGGAGCCCTTTTCATAAAAATTACAGTTGGAAATACAGCGTACTCTACATGGTACATAAGAATAAGAATAATAATTATGCATATTAAAAAATATCTATTGTCAATATATTAGACAGGTGACATGTGATTAATGTTATAAATTTTGAGTGTTGGGGTTAACATTTTTATCTACAAATAAATCTAAGTCCACGGTTATTCGTAGGTACTGCAATTTTTTTCCAAAATAGCAGTGCATTTCCGCATTGCCTGGACAACTGCACGAATGCTATCCATTTTACCTGCAGATATGTTATGTAAGTCATTTGCATCCCCACCAGCAGCAGGCCTTCTTCACCTGGTCGCGTACACACGACGAGTTTAGCTGATGTAGCCTCCTCTACTTCACTCATCGGCGGTTATATCGCGCAGCAGTTAGCGTTGTCGCAGTTTGCGTTGTTAGGTATTTTACTTTTCAGTGTGCGTTCGATTTTAATGTGTTTCTGCTTACGGTTCAGATCGCAGGCTGGCTGTCAGTCGTTCGGTCTTTTCTTCGCGGAATTCTCGTTAGTTGTTATTGTAGATGAGATGCGGGCTTGTTTGTGAGTGTGTGTGTATATTATGAATCATGCCACTGACTATCTTTCGGTTCCGACTTTTTTGATGACTAATAGTCGTAAGATGACATTGGACGACGCGTTATTAGTACAGTAGAGTAACAGTGAGTTATGAGAATGATTAGGTCGACTCCCGTAACAAAAATGTCAAAACCGCCACCCCCGATACCCCCTAGGCCGAGCAAGAACGTGGTCGCGGAAGCCCTGGCGAAATCAAAAACTAATCGAGAACCCGGGAAACCCACGGTCCCTTTAAGAATCGCGCCACCACCTCCCAAAAAGGATAACGAAAGTTTAAATTTTATTTCCAAGTCGCGGTCGAGTGTACAAGTGTGCTGTCCCACAGCTCCTAAAATTGAAAGGTCCTTCTCGCACACAGACAATTCTCGGCCGGTCATTTTTCAGTCTTCTAACTTGAAAAGTGCCAAAACTGATTCGAATTCCTCCTCCAAATCGTCGGAAAAATCCGTCGTGAATGGTGTCAGTAATAATTATGTTAATTTGGATATAAAACCAGTGACCAACAGTAACGAGTTGAAAAAGGAATTGCCCGCGGAAGTGAGTCACAAGAACCAGAAAAACACTGACCAGAAAGAAAAAATACTAAAAGTAGAAGAAGAATCGAACGACGTTGCTTCGAACCATTCAGATGAGAACTGGAATGACATCCTCAATGGAAAGAATCACGTAAATACTCTTATAGACGAAATGTTTGCGAGTATATTGGAAAGCCACGATGACCAGTGTAGTACAACAGAAGCTATTAATATGAACGTTAACATGTGTTCAGACAGTAAAATATTAATCGCTGAAGATAGTACAACTAATATTACAGTTGATATTGCCAAAGATTCGGACAAAATCGATTCGGTCACAGAACCAGAAAATAAACCTGCAAGTGAAACGGCAATAGGACACGTCTCAAAAACTGTATTGGTCATAGACACAAATTCACAACAGGATTTTAAGCATAAACAGAGATCTGATTCGTTTGAAATAAATAATCACGAAGATAGCATATCCTTGGAAAACTGCAGTGCAGAGAGCGTGAAGACAACAAGCACTAGCAATTCTTCCACTGCCGAAAGGAGGGTCAAATTTGATGACAAAATGAACCACGAACTCCTTATATCAGAACTGGAAAATATGAGAAAGGAGCAAGCAAGGATATTGAGACGCCAACGTAAGCCATCCCAGGAAATTTTCGAAGATAAGACCAGCGAAAGTTCACACGAGGGCGGCAAAATTCATCATTCCGATTGGGTGGAGGTGAACAACGGGCAAAAGGTTCACCTCTCCAGTTGCCAAATTACGATCGAAGACAGTGACAGTAATAACGATAACGTAAAGAATAGTGATGACGTACAAATTGATGCTAATTCGGGAAAAAACGGAATCACTGTGCCGGTCAATGTTGACGACGTGCTTCTTTCCAGGTTGAAAGAAATGTCCTCGTTGCACGGCCTACCACCTCTGCCCAAGAGTCTCAGCGGTTTCGCGTTCTTCGAACAAAAGAACTCGTCGACTTCGTCGACGTCAATCAACAGACCTTCCAGGGGCGCTTCGCCGGCCTCTTCAGGACATTCCCTGTATAGTGATCAGCACCGCGGATTGAATGGGACGCCTGAAGGACCCACTCCAACGAGGAAAGGGACCAACCTCGATGCACAGCTCGCTATTCTTCGAAGGGAAATGGTGAGTTTTCAATTTTATACTATAATAACGTAGAGATGGGGTCTTTGAAACATTGAGTGGATATTCCCCAGTAAAAACAGCTGAAATAGTTGATTACTGAATACTGTCGGTCAGCATATTCGCTTTTGTTTAAGATTTAAGTATTTAAGTAATAATAATTTGAAAAATTTGGTTCGATTTTCGACGGTTTTGACCTAATTGGCGAGGTGCTTTTATTTTGTTTATTTCACTTGACATTCGTTTGGAATGACGAAAATTAATCATAATCCGATATTAAACAAAGAGAACTGGTTCATCGAATACCTTGACCTAATCAAGTATGTGGGTGGTGTAAAATACACACCTTATACCTGACAGAAAAGAAATATACTTATAGGTATCACTCCAATGCACACCTTGAAATTGCTTTAATAGATTTTCTTTTATTTTTTGTTCATACCTAGCAACGTATTACATACATTTAAAAAACGAATTGGTGAATAAAAATATGTTTCGCGTTCTATAGGTAACAAAGAAAATAAACTAATTTAAAACAGTATCTAATGGTAATTCAAAGGCTATTAGTTTTTTTACACATCAGTTACCTACAGTGGTAGTACATAACGCAAATTATTTATATTGTTATGTTCGTGAAGACAAGATTGTACATTGCAAGTATATCTAGGTAATCGTTTTTATATGTACACTTGCAAATGCAAATTATATACATGCATGCATCGTTTGTTATAACTGTTGGAAACTCAGTTCTAGAATTTACAAGTTTACAAAAAAAAAACATGAGCAAGACTATTTGGTATTCAGCATAATTGAAGGAGGTTACGTGTAAGAATGTTCTTATCGACAATGGCAGAATACTTATTGCACGAACCTAATCTTATCAAAGTTCAAGTGCAATTGCGTATACCGTATGCGAAAGTCGGAATTGTCATATTGACATATGAGATTCCATACTGTATTAATTTTGCGAAAGGGTGGATTTTTAGATATCGTATAATATACAGGGTAGTTCCTTAAGCGCGCCTTGCTCTCTGGCGGTCTTACTGTTGAAATTGGAATATTTCCAATAAAAAATGTTTCTGATCAAATGATCCATCTGTGAAACATTATTTCCGAGATGGCGGACTTCCGGATGTACCGGAGGTATACATCAACTGCCTTATTTTAAATGGAACACTCAGCGGCGGAAAAGAAAAGGTTAGAAGCGTTCGAAATGTGGTGTTATAGGCGGATGATGAGGATATCGTGGGTAGAAAAGGTTAGAAATGAAGAGGTATTGGAAAGAATAGGAGAACAGAGGACTCTATGGAAGTCAATAAAAAATAGGCGAGACAGGTTGGTAGGACACCTTCTGAGGCATGAAGGTCTAGTCAGAGACATATTAGAGGCAGAAACAGGAGTTAGGAGGGGTAGAGGTAGACCTAGATTAGATTACTGTTCGCAAATAGTTAAGGATGTGGGCTGTTCTAGTTTTAGGGAAATGCGAAGTTTAGCTCAGGATATGAAAGAGTGGAGGTACGTGTCCAACCAGTCTTAGGACTGATGACCTTATGATGATGATGATTAAAATTTTTGTAAGGTATTGGAAATGTCAAATTTTCTAGAAATTACTAAATAACTCCAAAAAGATACGCAGGCAGAAACTATGGTTAACAAACTGGATATTATAATCAATGCTGAATTCAAAAATGTAATAACCTACAGGGTGTTCCATTTAAAATAAAGCACTTGATGTATATTTCCGGTATATCCGGAAGTCCGCCATCTCTGAAATTATATTCCGCAGATGTATCGTTTGACCAGGAACATTTTTTCTTGAAAACATTTTCTTCCAATTTCAACAAGAACGCTAGAGAGAAAGGCGCGCTTAATGGACTACCCTGTATATATTGGTAGTTTTCTGCCCGCTTATTATTTTTTTGAATATAAATTTAAACAATTACTGATGATGAAATTAAGTAAAAAATTTTGTATTGGAAAAACGTTTATATTTTATTCACACCGGACAAAGAACGATTGTATGATTAAACTGATGGTAGGTACTTATACCGGTCCTATTAAACTCGAAGGTAAATATTACATTTTGAGAATCCTTTATTTTCTGTTTCCACAACGCCTCATCACGGTCAGTGTTATTCAAAAGTCTTAAGCAACCGATAAATGGAAGGAAGTCTGGTTCTTTGTTAATTGTGCATTCACCTGTTCTGCGGCTATAGTGTAGTATAAAAAGTTTGAAAGTTTGCTTCTCTCTCTTTTTCTCTTTATGTATCAACTTGATACGGCGTCCTGCGTTAGTTTGTTTTTGTTGATATTTGTTCTAGTTTTCGTAGAGTAATTTTACGGAAACGCCGACGGTTTGATGAGAAACTAAACTCGTTCATTGAAACAATAGAACATTAGAACGGTATTATCTAACCAATCAGAAGGTTCTTTGCACCAGGTGTAATGTCGCTAATGAGAGTCAGCGTCGCTGCTCTCGTTTCGTGTCGGGTTTTTAAAAATGAATTTTTTAATCACAATTTTTCATTGCTTTAACGTGAACCTAGGACCTTTGTTTTTACGCACCGATGCTCAAAGCCGAGGGTCCCAGGTTCTATTCCTGACGAGGGTGTGACAACAGTAACAATTTTTCTTTATTAACTTGCGATAATTTATAGTGGATTAAAATTAAAAATTAATTTTTACATTAATATTTAATACTAACCACTATTGAATTTCAAAGTGTTTCATATACTATTAATTAAACA